TCTGCATCGCTTTTGATAAATAATATATACGTATAGAAATTAGATGCTGATGATAGCAACTAATAAAAAGAGGCATGTGTGCATAGTGCATCAACAGAAATTCCAAAGTATCTATTCATAAAAATAGCTTGGTTACAGTGTACGCTGGTTCATTGTAAACCTTAAATACAAAAGGGATTAATAAAATTTTGTTGGTCATTTTCTATAATTTTTAAAGTTTTTTTATAGTCAATTTATGGTTAAAATTAAGTTTTGTTAACAGTAGAAACGTAATGTGGAAGCGTCTCTCTTTCTTTTGGCTTGCCTGGCTCTACTGCAGCTTTATAAATGGCTCTATTGCTTGCTAGTCTTTGTATCTTATATTAAGGTAGTTGAGCCGATTGATTTGAACTTGCGGATACTCACATTCTATATAAAGTACATGCTTCCACAGGCCAAGTCATATATAAAGTTACAAAGTTAGAAAATGATGATATAGGACTTGACAAAACAAATTCGACAACAAATAAGAAAGGGATAAGTGATCATTGCTGTTAGAACTTCTTGAGCAAGCCTTTTATTGTTCCATGCAGTGCGGAGTGAGGAAGCCAGACCTCATGACCAGACGTGCCAACCTCTTCTTCTTCGCTTAATAATAATATTAAGTCGTTGAAATCATTGATGTCAATGCACCACTTCTCCATCTCTTTTTTGCTAAACACACGCCATCCCCAAGCCCTTATTCCAAGCTTCCCACAAGCGCTGAGTTTAATGTGAAGGCTATAAGAATCATGACCTTCTCTTAGATGTTGCCAACATGTTTTGTTATTCAATTCCAATATCATTATGCAGAGATGAGAATTCTCAATACTATCAATGACAATATGATGTGTGCACTCTATGCATATATAGCGATCATCTTCAGGTGCTTTGCTGCTCGAAGAAATATCACTACTCATAAGGCCGGTCGAAGCACTCGCTATGCTTAGGCATAGAGCTATTGCAGACCATTCACTTAGTATATAAATTATGTGCTGGTAGTTTGATGAATTAGAAGGTGAGAAGTTTACTTAAACCTAAAGAAATAGACACAAATAACTAGATTAAAAATGATTTAGGAGTCTACAATGACTTAAATCGTAGCTTTACAATTTAGTTAGACAATAAAATTTAGTGAGAGCTGAATTTAACTCTAATTAAATACATACTAATCTAGTAGAAGGATACTTTAGAAATGATTGTCACTATAAATGAAGTAAGATAATTAATTGAATTAGGATAATCTATCTTGGTAGGTAAATCCTGACCCCTATCACTCGTTTAATTGGTTGGTTTATTGTTTTTATTGCTTTTTATCATTTTTCTCATTTATTTAAATTAGTTATTAAATTATTTTTTTAACTCTCATTTGTTTTTATAAATACAAAAGAGTACTACTTTTTTTTTCCTGGATTTGACACTAGAAATACTTCAAAAAATATTGTTACATCGATCCCGTGTACTTGTAATGTAAGAGCGATCAAAGAACCCAACTTATTTATAGAGAACTATCTTTAATAAACAAAATTACTAGGAAACTTCTTCGACGACTTTAGCTTTCGCCGATTACCTTTTGAATTACTCTCAATAATATATATGTGTGTACATGTGTGTGTGTATTATATTAATTCACAATGATTGCAGTTTTACCAAGTGTGAAATCCAATTTCACTTCCCTTCACACACATGTAATATTTCCTTTCACAGGATGAAAGTTTTAGGTGTTTGGACATTAAAAAAAAAACATGGTTTTGAGCAAGGTACTGAAAATCAAACCGATTATTGAATTGGTTGAGATAATAGTTCAAGAGTTAGTTATCTAACTAGGAGTCAACTCAGAATTAGATCGGTCACAGTTAAAATAATATAATTTGATTAAGTATACAAAAATATTCATATAAAAGACTATAATATTTAAATAGAAGTCATTAATTTTTGAGTAAATGAAAAAATTATCCATAAAATCTTATGTATATCTTATAGAAATAATAATTATAAGTTTCTGACAATAATAGAACAAAATAGCATTAAAATTATTAATTAAGAAATTTATATTTGATTTAGGGTTTAATATTCAGAAGAAAAAGAAAAAAAAAAGAATAGAATTTGACCCGAGTCAACCCATTAATGGTTGAGTTTATAATTAATTTTAACATATATATAATAAATGTCTTTTGATATATTTTTATAAAATCATAATTTTGACATCTAAAATTGGTTAAAAACATTATGCGAACGGGCATTTCATGCAACAGGCTGGGAAAATGAAATTCAAGCCCAATATTCAATATATTATTCATTATATATCAATCATCACTGACAAAGACAGTAAGCACAAGAAGTAGATACTCCAAAAAAAAAAAAAAAAAAACAATAGCCCAAGAGTGAATCCAATGTTACTCTTGAGATGCAGCTACCATGTGCGTGTGCGTGTGCGCTTATGGATGATTAAATGCAGCTATCATATTTTACGTCACAGATACCATTTATTAATTCATATATCTTTCCTTAACATAATATAAATATCCTCATACAAAATATTCTTCAAATTTTTATAGAATAAATCTCAATAAATAATATGGACCTCTTTGGAAACCTATTTTAAAAATAATTTTCTGTTCTTTAGAACAAGAGAACAAAAAAAAATCTATTTGGTAACTAGTTTTCAAAAAATATTTTAGAGAATAAAAAATAAAATATTATTCTGTATAGTAAAAAAATGAAAATAATTTTTAGGTACTTTGTGATTATTATCCTGAAGAATAAGGAAAAAAAAAACACTTATTTTCATTATTTTTTGTTTTCAAAATATGTTTTACAAAATACCAGTTCTTAAAATAATAAAATGAAAATAGTTTCAAATAGCTCCTATGTCTTAACAGTAATTTCTCTTAAATTTAAGATACACTTGAATTTATAACAACTTATATTGCTTAATTTTAATAAACTAAATCTCAATAGATTATATATCTCGACATTTGACATGATAGTTGACTAATAATATTGGGATATTTGTCTTTACGGATGGCAAGGTTATTAGCTTTAGCAGCTTAGAAGAAAATGGTGAAAAGAAACAAATGGATTGAAATGGATTAAAACATGTTGAATAATTTTAAATTAGGAATTAAAAGTAAATAATGATGGGGAAGTGACCAATGTATTTCCTTCTCTCTCACTCTGTGAAATGAGAGGCAAGATTACGTGTAATATGAAATTAATTATTGACAAGTAGCTAGCAGGTGAACAAAATTATTAGCGTTCATACATAGGAAATGAAGAGAGAAACGATGATTATGTCAAGATAATTTTGTTTATACTGCTCACATGCTTTTGCATAATGTATAGTCTTGACTAACCATTTGGAGAATTAAAGAAATGGATTTTTTGACAGTATTATATATGATGACTTTGATATTTCTCAGTCTCTGAATAATTAATTAACGTTAATTAGGATTTGTTTCACAGGTGGGGCTGCCGTCAGCTTTAAAGAAAAGGGAAAAGAGTACCAAATGGGATGAATTGAATATAAATGCACAATTGTGTGTAGTCATTCTAAATAAGTTATTAATTAAAAGTGATTCATCATTAATTAAAAGTGATTCATCATGATTCATGGGGAAATGAACCAATAATGCACAATTTCTCAGTAATTCATTGGGTTTGACTCTACTTTTGTCTCTACCTCTCCTCTAAAATATATAAATCATTTTAATTTAATCAAATTATATTCATAATAGATTAGTTAATTACCTTTAAATTAGCACTTATATTTTGTAAACATATAATTTCATGCATGAAAAATGCTTTATATGTTCAAACACATGGGGTAATTCTTTAGGTCATTGCTAGCTTGCTCCTCCACAAGGAATATGTATCCCACCAAATATACGGCATTTTGAAGAAATATTCATTAGTTCAAAATATAAGATATTGAGTCAAGTTATATATATATATATATATATATATTTATATATTTTTCAATTATACTCATTTTTTATTATATTCCATTCAAGTAATTAATAAAGGTATTTTGAATAAATCAAATATTATATCTATTTACCTCCAAGGCATAGTTGAAAATATGTAAAAAATTTAAAAAATGAAGATTTTAATCAATTTTTTTAAAAAAACCATAAACTAGCTAAGAATAACTTATGTTATAATCAACTGGTGATGGAGAGATGGCCATTTTATGCTTAATCGCTCATGTTTTAATATAAATTAAACTTAACCAACTTTGTAATTATTAAAAAAATGATAATTATGTCTTTAAAATTGTAAAAACATGTAATTTTTAATTTTACTCTTCTTTATAATTAATGATCATATTAATTGTTGTTTAAAAATTTGAAGCATAATGAATAAATTAAACGAGGGTTAAAATTGAAAAAATAATTAACTACTCTAACTTTGTTTCATATTAAAGGTCCAAAAAACGTTTAAAATCTACTTTATATCAAGGATTAAGAATACTTTAATTCGAAATGTTTAATTGAAATAAACTCCATTTCAAATATTTAGTGCTTTTTAAAATAGCATATAAGTTGATAAAAGTACCGCATTGAATTTATATGTTATTTTGAAAATAATAGATGTACACACGAGTCTGAGCGTGTCTGTGTGAGGGCGTAATTACATGCATATGTGCGTACATACATACATATACACGCACATATAAAATGAAATTTCACCATATTATGGGTTCAAAATTAAAATTAAAAAAATTTATACTAGTCAAGAATAACTTGTTATTAAAATAAAAATGAATATTTATTAATTCAAGTTAGTCTTTTATCAAAAAGTATTTATTCAAGCTTTAATAATAATTTATTATAAATTAATAACAGTTCATTTGAGTTTTTTGTTATTAGTATTTTGAAAACAACTAGTATTGAAATAAATTTTTTTTAGCAGTCATTCGTTGCTATTTTCCAATTAAAATTTCTCCGACTTCATTCCTGAGGTTCTTACTGGTCTATATGTATATATATCTATGTCTCCCATTTCTCTCTGGCTTTTGTATTTCAGTGAAATCTGATCATAGCAGTGAGTAGAGGAGAAAGTAAGATTCTGTTCTACGATCGATCCTTGCATGACGAGTATATCGATGTGATCGTATCCGTTTAGTCTTTTATTTTCTTTGGCAATTACTGATATGATTTTGTTGGTGCAGATAATATTCGAACACAGCAACAAGAGATGCACTATGCTGTCGGAGGAGAATCTTCCACAAACTCTTCTACATCTGATTCAACTCCAGAATGGAAATATGACGTTTTCTTGAGTTTTGCAGGAAAAGACACTCGCTTGAAGTTTACAGGTCACTTGGATGATGCTTTTATCAAAAGTGGGATCAACACTTTTAGGGACAATGTAGATCTTGAGAGAGGGGGAGCTATAAAAGATGATCTCTTTCAAGCAATTGAAGATTCTCTTTGTTCAGTTCTTATTATCTCTGAAAAATATGCAAATTCTACGTGGTGCTTGGAGGAACTCTAGAAGATTCTGGAATCCAAACAGAAATTGGGTCGACGTGTTTTTCCCATCTTCTATGATGTTGATCCAGCCGATGCAAGACAACAACAAAACAGTTTTGGAAAAGCCTTGGCTGAACATGAAGACAAATTTGGAAAAGATACAGAGAAAGTGCAAAATTGGAAAAATGTTTTATTTGAAATTGGCAAGTTGGCTGGTTGGGACACATGGAGCAAGTAAGTTTTCTTTAACAATGAATTAATCATTCCATATTTATTCAGTTTTAATTTATATTATTTCTGCCAATCCTTTTTACTATTTTGGTTGAAATGGTTTATGATTAATTATTTTTATAGTCTTCCTATTTTGGTTGAAATTATGTTTCGTAGGGAAATGACTAAAATGTCCTCCAATTAATTTTTTTTGTAACTTGATTTGTTATTTTAATAACATTATTTGCTAACTCAATAAAACAATTTGTTAAAGTACACATTTTGCATATCCAATATTATTTTATAACAACATGAAGTGAACTTGTTAAAATTTTAACTTGACTTGTTATAACTTTAAATTGACTTATTATTTTAATAATATTATTTGTAAATTCAATAAAAGAATTTGTTAACAATACATATGGCATATTCAATCTTATTGACTTATTACAACATGAGATGCACTTGTTAAAACAGCAACTTGTTATTTTTGTAATAGTACTTGCTAACTCAATAAAAGAACTAGTTACAGTACACAGTATGCATATTCAATATTATTTTGTATCATTAATTGAATATTAATTAATTGTTATTATAGTAATATTAATTGTTTGAGACTTTAGTTGTTAAAAAAATTAATTGAAGGGCATTTGAATCATTTCGATACAAAACATGATTTCAATCTAATTTTATGGCCCTACCTGTAGCATAATTTCAGAATTATTTGAGACTAATTTGAAATTAATTCACATCTTTGGTCTCGCAATGAAATCCTCCTTTATATTATTTGAATGGAGACTAAATATATATTATAACAAATTGAATATAGAAAAACAAAGTTTGCAAAATTTAATAAATAAATGTATATACATGAATAAAACGAATTGCGAACAAGTTGATGTTTTTGGAAAATTATCACATTTTTCATTTTAATGGGCAAATGGATCAATTCATGCTTGCTTGCCAACAAAGTTGGAAATATGAGCTTTTGGCAATGACAATTAAAAGTCAGCACTAAAAATAAATTTTTAATAATAACTTTTAAATATTGCCATCAAATATCCCTTTAAGCGATGACATTTGATTATTGCCTCTAAAACTCACTTTGAAATATTTTCATAAAATATAATTTAAGTAATTATTTTTGACAGTGACAAACTCTCACAACCAAAAGTATTTTTACAAAAAATAATTAAAAAAATTAAAAATAATTTATGTAATTAATTTTACCTGTGACAAACTGTCATTGTCAAAAGTATTTTTATAAAAAAAATTAAAAATAATTTATGTAATTATTTTTTAACGGTGACAAACTATTGTCGCCAAAAGTATTTTCATAAAAAATAATTAAAAATTAAAAATAATTTATTTAATTACTTTTTACAGCCACAGTTTGTCACTGCTAAAAATATTTTCATAAAAATAATTAAAAATAAAAATAATTAAAAATTGAAAAATATTTTTATAAAAATTAATTTGCATAATTACTTTTGGTGGAAAAATTTGTTGACACTAAAGGTATTATATAAAATGAGAAATAAATAACATTAGAATGTTAAAGTTATACATAAATACTTACTTGCTTACATACATATACATAAACAACAATAGAATGTTAAAATTATATAGATGTTGTAAAATGAAAATGATATTGCAGATTACTTGATACATTGTACACTTGATATTTGGTTTAGTATACACATGGTGTCTACTCTATTTGCTGAGCTCTACTTTTTATTGCCACATGATTATTTAAATAAGACGCTCCTTGTAACATCCTAAAAATTTTAAGATTCGGATTTATTTTAAAAATAAAATAAAATAAAATATTTATAATTTAATTAAAATTTAGAATAATTTGATAGAGGTGCAGAGTTTGAATTTTACTAAGCAAAAGTTTGGTTTTATTTGATTTTTAACTATGGGAAAAATTATCAAAGTTGACCTGGGCTTTTGTGCAATAATAAAAAATGTTAGGCCCTTTCTTGTAATTTTCTCTAAACTTTTTGACCAGTAATTTAAAGACCAAAACTGACGCAGAAAACGTAGAAACTGAATTGGAAAGGAAAGGAAACGCACGAGAGGGAGAAAGGAAGAAGAGAAGAGAAAGGGAGGGAGGAAGAAGAGAAGAGAAAGGGAGGGAGTTAGGTTTGGATTTAGGAGTCTTTGCGACCATTGCAAGCTCGGCTACACGATAGGTAAACTCTTTACTTCAATTTTCTTCCCTTTCTCTTGATTTTTTTCAATTTTTGGAAGAGGAAATTTTTGAATTTTGATCCCAAAGGCTTTATTCTTGTAAGCTTTTGTTTCTTTGGATCCTAGGGAGCATGTGTTGAGTTTCTATATAGTGATCTAATATTTTGAGTGGATAATTGGATGAAAAGAGGTGTTTTGGGCACAAAATAAACCCTGAGAAATTGGGTTTTCGCTCTTCAATGGTTTAAGCCTATTAATTTAGTTATAATTTTGCTATTTGAGCCCAATAAAATTTAAATTAAAGTTTGGTTTTCATTATAAGGGCTAATGGTAAAAGTTGGTGACACTAAGTGAAGGTTTTTAATTGATAAAAAATTATATAAATTGGAGATTAGCCTAATGATGGCTAATAAATGATTTTGGTGGTTAAGTGATACTATGTGAATGGTTGGTTTAATATATGGACTATTAGAGTGGATTATGACTCATTGATCCAAGTTGTGTGGTATGAGTTATAGTCTTCATTAATGCTATTTGTCATGATAAGTGATGTGGATCACTTATATGTTGTAGGAAATTGTTGGTAGAACTTATTGAGAAGTAAAGAATAAGCCAAATTCTATTTTGTACAAAATGAACCCTTTTGGTACCAAAGGGTTGAGGTAACAGGGGAATTTATATTTCTTATTACTTTGTTTTAACTATTTTTGAATAAATATTACTAGCTATCATGCATTATATGTTTTAAAAGATTAAATGTGCTTTATAAGGGGTTATGGGGTACTACTTTGATTATCGTGCAAATATGTTTTTTAATTGTTTAACAACAATGTTTTTATGGAAACGAGATTTGTTTACATGTATTTTAATCATAAGGAATAGAAGTTGCACTTAAGGAAGTGTAACTAAGTAAGGTACCTTAGATAGGCTAAGGAACCGTTTAAGGAAGATTTATAAATGTTATACTACCTTAGAGTGTTGAAGTGGTTAATACTCGAAAAAGGTAGACACGAATAAAAGGCATGATCTTGGTGGGAGTTCACCAATGAGAAGGTGTGTACTTTTGACATTCTATGGCACACTGTCAGTACTCAGTGTTGCCTTACGTATTATGGGCTCAGTGCACTAAAGTGGTTAGTGTATTGAGTGTTCGACACCTCTCAGTAGGGGAGGAAATCTGACATATGAAGTGTGAGGTTGAGTGCCTAAGCCAAGGTAGCCCTCACATGGAGAGTAAGTCGGGCTGGCTTTGGGAGGGAGTTAGCTTTGATTGCTCAGGATTCACGTCGAAGGGGCATAGGTGATTCGGTGGATTAGATCATGCCTTAGATTATGTTTTGTACCTGTGGAGGTACAAGTAGGTATAAGGTTTACTTGTGAGCTAAAGAGTGCCAGGGGGCATTCTGTTGGTCATGAAAGGCCATACTGGCCTAGGTCATGCATTCATACATTTTAAATGGCTAAATTATATACTATATTGAATTTATTATTCGTTTATTTGATTATGGCTTGCTTTGTAATAATCAATGTAGATTTCTCTGTTACTAAGACTGTGGTTGTCTCACCCCTTTCTTTTTAATATTTTAGGTCCAGGCAAAGGATCCAGTGGTGGACGGGGAAAGAAGCAAAGCTAAGGGTTTGCTTGTGATTTGTAAAGAACTGCAACCCTTTCTTTTAAGCAAATAGATTGTAATGTATTTAGAATTAGGGTGTCAGTAGGATATGATTATGTATGTGTGAGTGAATATGTGTGGATTGTGTGCTTGTGTATGAATTTTTGTCTGTTTGTAGACTTGTGACTAGGAAACTTGGTTATGGTGTGTGGTTTTGATGGATTTACTTAGTAGACCAAGTTTCTATTACAAGCAGATATTTGTTTTGATATATATATATATATGTGATTCTATAAGCAATTGCAAAGTGGTTGCATTGCAAATGGTGTGCTATGGGCAAACATACACCTTGGATAGAGAGAGTGGGTGCGTGGGCCCCACAAGGAGCTCTGAGCCAAGTGAAAATGTTTAGCATATGTATTTATATAAATACATGGTATTTAGATTGATTTATGACCACTCTTGTATGATTTGTGCATTTTGGAGGTTTAGGGTCCATTTTGGGAAATGGCACCTGGGTGGTCAAATTTTGATGTATGGGGGTTTTCTATCATTTGAATGTTCTATCAGGTGTTTTTAGTCTTATTTGACGTGTCCAAAGTGTTCTCACAGGTTTGTGACCATTAGGATGAGATTTGAACAATTTTGAAAATGGTTTTTACCAAAAAGCTGCACTTTTGCATCCGGGTGTCCAAATCTTAATCCGACAGTTGGATTTCTCTAAAATTTAGGTTACAAGTAAAACCTTTTATAAGCTTCATGTGGGATTTAGAATCATGTCAATCGGATATCGGATGAAAAATGGCGCACTTCGGAATTTGGTTTGGAGGTGCTGTCATGACAGCATTTCATTGCTGTCATGACAACTACAGTAGTGATATTGTAACCTGCACAAAATTCAATCCGTCTATTGAATTTTTTCAAAATTCAGTATGCTAATAGTATTCTTTAAAAGTGATATGTAGGCTTTGGAATCACTCCGATCGGAGGTCAGATGATGAAATGGTGCACTCCGGAAGTTGATTCGGAAGTGCTGTCAAATGTCATGACAGCAAAAGTGACCAAATTTATAACATGTCCAATTTTTAATCCGACCATTGGATCTTTTTGAAATTTGGTACATTTATAGTATCCTTTGAATGTAACGTGTGAATTTTAAAATTTCTTCAATCGGAGATTGGAAGACAGAATGGTGCCTCCTTGAAGTTGACTTGGGAGGGCTGTCATGATAGCAATTTAATGTTGTCATGACAATATATTTTTTTACCATTCTTTCACCTAACTTCCGTGTGCTATAGGTAGAATCTATAATTTTTTTTAAAAGGCTTTAAATGTTTACTTTGTAATTGTGTATTTGCTTAGTAATTTAAATGATTTATTTCCTAAGTTGGTTTTAGGATTAATTCCTTAACCACACTTAGCTTATTTGAATTGTGTGATTTTTGGATAACACTCGGGGCAAGTGTTACACTCCAAATCTGATAGTTATTTAAAATAAGTAACAAATAAAATAGATGGATAATACTTGATAGCTTTTTGAATTATGGATAAAATTATGTATGAACTTATTAAAGTTTATTTATTTTAAATTGTATAGTTATTGAAAAGTATTTCTTATTATCTTTAGATTGACTTTATTAGAGAGACTTTAATGGAAGTTTAAACTAATTTAGATTGAGTCAAGATAAGATTTTTTTTCTATTTTGATTATGAAATATTCACTTTGATTTTTTATTTGGAGTTTTTTATTTAGTATCTACTTTAGTTCATTGCATGTCCACCCATTTTCTATCTCAAAAATAATAAATAATAATTGTTCAAAATGACTATTAACAAGATTTATATGATTAAAATAAATTTTTTATTAATTTTTTTAAAATAATTGAAAAATTATAAATAAAAATTATTTTTAATAAAAGAAGGGGAAGCATTTAACTTGGGAGAAGATAAAAGTTTAATAATTTATTTATTAATTTTTGAGAAAATATGGAAAAAAGTAAAAAATATTTAACGTAAACTGATTTAATACATACTTATAAATAAATTATATATGTAATTATTTTTATTTAAAAATAAAAATAATATTTAAAAATTGGTAAAAATTTTATAATAAAATTATTTAATATTTAAAAATATTTTATTTTAAGTTCATTTTCCTAACAAAAATAATATTTTATTAAAAATATAATATATATACACTCAGAAATTATTTTAACATATTAATAAATAAAAATATAATATAATATATATGTAAATATTTTCAATAATATATTATTTGATATATGTGTATGTAGTTAAATATTATATATTTAATTTTGTATATAATAATTGTAGGTACATTTTCACTCAACTGACAAAAAAGGAGGACTTAAGGTTTGAGAGGTGTAGGAAAATGGCTCAAATTTTGGCTTGGACATATTTTATAATAAATCTGTGATGTGACACGTGGTGGTGGCGTGGCACGTGCCGTGGCATGAGAAAGTGCACACATGATAGCTAATGTGACACAAGATGTCACTTGACATGGCATGAGATGGCTTTTTTATTTTTATTTTTTAAAAAATAACTTTTGATGGTGAAAAGTCCTTTAGCGGCAACATGTTGCCACCAAAACTCTTCTTTTTTTATTTTTTTATTTTTTTATCATGTTCTACTTTCACTCAGACCTTCAAAAACATTCATTTAATGAGTTTTAATTTCATATTATTGGGACAATTTACAGGTGATTTGTAGAGCGAATACATCCATTATTGAAGATATCAAGTAAATGTTCCTTCATAGAATACACCCATGGTTCGCTCTAGGGACAACCTACGCGCGCGCGCGCACATTTTCCTTCCCTCCTCTATCATTTTTATCAATTCCAAAGTAAATACATATATTAAAGGAGAAACTATATTATAATTAAATTTAAATGAGAAAAAATATTAAAATTAAAATTTTCACTGCTCTTTATTTTACTCTTTTTTTTTTGAAAAAAATCAATTTCATATTTACGACTCGCATGCAGTTTTCCCTATTTTTTTCATCAATCTCCTTCTTTCAAAACATTCCTTTTGACTCTTATTTTTGTTTAATCTTTCTTTCACGTTGGAATGCAATAAGATGCCTCACCATGCTTATAAAAGTAAAATAGGCCCTATCGGTAGCTTTCTTTGCTAGCCATTGTTTTCTAACTTTGCATCGTTGTTATGAAAACCAGACCAGATTGGCTAGTTGAATCAGCAGTTAGTTCGATCCGAAACAAACAAAAAACCAAACCAAACAAGAACCAGTCTCAGACTAGTGAATCGGTCAATAACCAATGAACTAGACCGTAATTTTAAATCGGACCAGTTAGAAAAAACACACCTGACTCAAGAAAAGAATGGTACGTGGCCAGATTTAAAAAATAAAAATAAAAAACTATGCCTCAGGTCCATTGCTCATGCAAGATTGCAAGTTGTCGAAGAAAAGCAATTTTTTAAGTGTTATCACTCCTTTCCATTATATAAATACGAGCATGCCTCACTCTTCATCACTTGAGCAATGTGGGACTATTTCCCTCAACAACATATGCAGCTTAGCCAATCCTCCCAACAAGTCTGTTTTCTTTTTTCCCCTCCTTGTCTTTGTTCATTTTTTTTTAGTTCCTCAGACTTATTTTTTTCAAGTATGTATGAACTTCTGTTTTATCTCCATTCTTCCAGCTATTTATTTATAATTTTTTTCATATGATATCATTTCAATTTGGTTATAATTTTCCTATAAAAAGTACTTATTCACCAACCTCAAACAAGCATGCAACTCTTTGATCTCTTTTTTAATTGATTTTTTGGACTAATATTTATTTACATATCTTTTCAAACAAATTTAGTTCTTGTTTGTTTTAAGAAATATGTGATCACCATCTCAAAAGCATCAACGATGATTTTGAAACTCCAAATAAAAAATTTATATTTATCTATAATATTTAAATATATTAATTTAATTATATCTAGTCTAAACCCCTATATGATTGAATCGTCAACTAGTGCCTCAACCGATTCAATGATCAGTCTAGTTCTCATAATGCTGCTTTGTGCTCAAAGGCCTAGTGTTGTTTTCTGAAGTATTCCTCTTCACCATCTTGTCATGAAAATAAACTTTATAAACATGTTTTTCCATCACACAAATTATAAGCAAATTATCAAAATTTTTGGGAGTAACAACCTTCATGCAATTGACAAAAATTCACTACATAAACTGAGTTTAAAAAAAGAAAAAGAAAGAAAAAACTCTAAACATTCGCTATTGTAAATCACTCAGATCCGTCTTTGTCAAATAATACATGCATGTCTATTTTTCTTGATGGGATTTCAAGAGTTTTGCAGAAGCGCAAGTTTTTTAGGATAAGTTTTTAAAATTATTTTATTAATTCATCAAATCAGAGAGATAGATCAATTCTTAGAAAGTTAGTCTTCTACCAAACATGAACCCACAAATGCATCATTGAATAATCAATATAATTTATACATAAAACACAATTAAATGGAATTTTATTTCTTAATGCATCATCCTATATTACGAAAATCACCTGCTAAAATTATAGAAGGGTTAATGAGCAAATAAGATCCCAAACTATTGCTCGAAAATCACTCTGAACTCTAAATTTTTAAAATATGTAAAATAAAAAATTCATAACAAAATAAATCCTAACTATTAACTTTTTAACACCGTTACTATTCATGCAAGTATCATTCATAGTTTATTTTCCTATGAATTTAACCCTGACTGTTATAGTATCTGTGTGGACAGTAACGGTGTTAAAAATTTTAATGGTTAGGGTTTATTTTGTTATAAATTTAAAAATTTAAAATTTATTTTGCACATTTTAAAAGTTTAAGGTCTAAGGTAATTTTAAAGCAATAGTTCAGAATCCTATTTACTCTTTAACCCATTATAGAATATTATCCCTCCCTTATCAAATATATGTTACAAGTGAATATAGGCTCATCTGTGAAGAAACAGTTTAATGTCCGAGAGAAAGTATTTCGTCTTTTTCCACTTTCCCCCAAGTAAATGTATTCCCTCCATCTTCAATTACAATAAGTAGCATTAATTTTCTAAACACCTTGATGAGCCCTCAGTTATTGATTCTTCAAGGAATGCCCAACGATAATTACTCATATTAATTAATGAGATATTGAGATACTTTTAGCATTAAAGGCGTGGAAAATTTTTGAAGATCGATCAAGTTTCATAGAATAAAACAATTTTTGAGTGGACCAAAATGCTCTCCTCTCTTCTTTT